TTTCTTTTAGAAATTCTGTTGTGGGCATTGTTAGAAATTGAGTGAAAATTGCCAATCCGATTGGGGAGAGGGATGGATAAATGGCTATACTCAAGGATAGAATATGTTATGTTTGACATCTGAAGCTAACAACTGGCGTTCACTCGAAATACAGTTGTTAGAACTTGTGTTGAACCATAGAGTTATATAAGCTGTTTTTGACTTCTCATATCGCTGTAGGCTTAATAGGAAATTATATAAACATTTTACTAAGTAACAAAGATTTCAGGGCCGTAACTAGCTCTAACGTAAACGATGTCATGTCCCCAGTTGTTTTCTGGCTTCATTTACTCAATCAAATACACATATACTTATGAATGTACAACTGGAAGTTATAGCTTGAAACTTAAATATGACCTCTGTAGCATACTGGCCCTGGCTACTATAATGCTACAAGAGACAATTCTCGAGTAAAATAAACTATAAAAACTGGTCTGTAGATTGAAAAATGAATTAATTGTGTATGAATGATTCCTGAAGAGGTCAAATTTCATTTAAGTTTACATAATAATGGGTTATCGTTAATGTAAGCGAACGTACTTAAATTGAATAAAAATAATACAAGTCGTGATTTTGTTAGCAAGGACAGATAAATACAGTTATTCATTTAGAAGAAACAAAACGCTGATGAATTGTTGTATTTGGTTTAGAATATTCTATTGAAGGAAGTGTAAATATTCTTTAATAAACCATCAAATGTTTTCTTTAGTTATTATCAAGTCTGAGAGTCAATTGCCAACACACACACACACTCTGCAGATGCGACTTCGATTAACAGTTAAAAACGCAACAAGTTAAACAGAAAGTAAGATAATTTAAAGATTTTAACAATGGCGTGTACAACCTGGGAGGAGGTAGGGTAGAGAAAGACGTAACACAAAATTGTAAGTACAATATGGAGTTCGTCACCAAAAATTCCGAAAGGTCTTGGAATGCATAGTATATATATAAAAAAAATATGATAATGTATCCAAAAAATTACGTTCGAACAGCATGATCATTTGTTTTAACAAGTAGTAACCATTAAAGACAATATTAAGTTAAATGCTTAAGGCATGAATACCTCATGAATGACTGAATGATAAGAATACTGTTATTCAAAAGTAGTAGTAACCATTAAAGACGATATTAAGGTAAATGCTTAAGGCATGAAGATCCTTTTTGAATGATAACTTTGCCATTACTTAAGAGTATACGGGGGAGTTTAAGAAAATCCTTATAGAAATTCATGAGGATATAGTTGATTTCAATATTACAGCTATTTATTAAAATTCTAGCTTTCGGTGTAACTTTAGATGTTAACTGAAAACTTGGATGGAAAGTTGAAAAATGTATTTAATACGCGTTTGTTACTGTCGTGACGTAGTATTCTTGATGGAGGTAATTGTTTGTTTTGTTTTTGAATTTCGCGCAAAGCTACACGAGGGCTATCTGCGCTAGCCCTCCCTAATTTAGCAGTGTAAGACTAGAGAGAAGGCAGCTAGTCATCACCACCCACCGCCAACTCTTGGACTACTTTTTTACCAACGAATAGTGGGATTGACCGTCACATTATAACGCCCCCACGGCTTAAAGGGCGAGCATGTTTGGTGGGACGGGGATTCGAACCCGCGACCCTCAGATTGTGAGTCGAGCTCCTTATCCACCTGGCCATGCCGGGCCACAATGGAGGTAATAGATAGAATTAGTGTACAAATAAACTAACACTTGAAATCTTTTCACAATAATAAACCACAAAAAGTTTACTCATAATAAACACTGGACTAAAGTCCATTCAGAGCAAAAGTTATTAAAAAAAAGGAAAGAAAAATATAGCGCAAAGTGCACCACACCAATTTCAAAAACACTGAACTTCTGTAACCTGATTTTAACCAATTTAAATAAATGTTATTACTCGTAATAAAGTTAAGGTTAATATGTTTTGTTGTGATGTTAATAGTCACAATATTAGCAAAGAAAAAATACAAATACCCTACATTTCTTTCTAGATTAACCCGTTTCAACCTTGGTTAAAATTATACTAATTATACTAAACCAACTCGAGTTAGCACATTTTCACCCAAGTGTCCCTCTCGGTAAGATCCAAATATCTTGACTGGAGTCGTGAAAGCCAAAAATTGTCTATACTGGTTATAGAGAGGTAACTTAGGTATTGAAATAATTAACTTTTAAACTTTTTTAAATTAAGAGAAATGTAAAAATCTACTAGGCTATATCCAATCACTATTATGATTCCTCAAAAAAAAAAAACTGTTGTGACTGAATAAAAAGTACAATCAATAAGGGAAGAAGTGCCATGCTAATATGTATAACACTCAATCACAGAGAAAAATTTTATGTACTAATAGCTTTCCTCTGTATGTAATTATAAATGTGAAGACTGATAATTTCTGATAATCTTATATTTTTAATAACCCAGTAAACTGCTCTTTAAACAGCTGATTTTTTTTTTTGGAGGAGGGGCTTACTTCATAAAGCCCACCAAATTATTTTGTCGGGCATTCATTCCCAAATATAAATCAGAATCTTCATTGTAAATGAAAAAAAAAAGCTATGATATTAAACCCTTTCACATATCTTACATCACATTTGGCCCATTGGGACCAGATGTGATTGTTATCTAATATTCCTCATGGCTTATCAGTACCAACTGTCTGCAATGTACTCATTTCTGATTTCAGTGACTTCTTTTACACATTATAAGTGGTTTATAGTTTCACAATCATGTATTGCATAATGGTATGTACTAGAGATAATAACATCAGTTTAATGGGAACTTAATATTGCATATACCAACAAAAAAAAGAAAATGAACACAGGACAAAAGCCCTAAAGCTAATGTAAAATAAAACTAGAAAAATAGTATGACCATATGAGCCATGTCTTTAATGCTGTTGTAGCAAAGTGTCATATGACTGACCATTCTCTTTAAAAGTTATTTTGCAAGAAAGTGTAAAACAAATGGATACACATCATAAAATAGTCTTACAGAGATGATTGAAACAACTGCATGAAGAAAAACAAAACATGTATTAGTAACAATTGAGAATTTAATGGTCAAGATAGACTTTTAGAGGTAATAAACTTTTTTCAAACTTCCTTATGACACATAAAACTCCAGCTTTAAAGTTATGTAATCTATCAATTGTATTAATTGAATAATAAGTACAATGCTTAACACACAAGCATATGGTTGGCCCTTCTTTATCAAAACTTGTCACAACTGTACTGACAATGTCTAACAGTTTTGGAAAACATTGCATTGGACCGTAATGTGAACAATAAGATGGGCATGAAATACCACACACACACACATACATACATACATACATACATAAATATATATATATCAATTTTAGCATTTAAAGTTTCTTATAATATTACAGAAACAGTTTATTTCTTATTTATTTGAAATATATATGAAAATATTTAATATGGTAAATTAAATACTTCATGATGCATGTTGCACTTTTAATACTAGAATATTCAAAGCGTAACTCACCAGTTATAGTAGTTAACGCACATGTATTGTGATCTTACTGTTTTTCTAAGTAATGGTTTTGTATTGATATAGTAAAATGAAATTTCATACTCAACATAATGTCTTTTATACTATTATTACTTACTGTACTGTCTCCTTATGAACAACCCACCTCAGAAAAAAAAAAAGATTTTGAATTACTGTTGCACAGACTTTTTAACCATGTTTTATTGACCATTGCTTCTGTTTAAAATTTTCTACTACCTCAAACAGATGTTAAACAGTAACAGCTATCATAGCTGCTTTCTGTTTACTTAATAACATTAGTTATCCAAATGTTCACATACACATCACAGAAAGGAGATTCAGTAGTAACAGATATCCGACATAAATAATCTTCCAGGCACATATTAAATGAAAAAACATTTCTCTTAATTTTTTATAAGTAAAATTAAGACCTTTACTGGCTATTCAATAGTGCAATGTGCTTAGTACAGGTATCTTCTTAAATAAAGTGTACTTAGAAAAATTCATTCCCAATCCAACTTCTTTATCCATCTAATCTGTAATAAGCTGGGTTGAGTTGCAGGTTGACTTTCATATCTCCTGATATACTATCTATATGATTAAACTTATTATGCTCACGAGTCATCTATCATGTTTTTTATTTACATATTTGTATCAACATATTTATGATCAATCCAGCTTTCTTTACTAGCTGACCCCCAGAACACAATTTTACAAGCTGTGGGTTGACTGTTGTATCTTTTGATTTCGTATGCATCAAGTTAACCATTTTCTACCAAATAGACTGATCTATAAGGACTGGCCTGAGTGGTATGAGTTACTGTCACATTTTCTGACATACTTAGATACAAGTAAGTTTACTATTGATATGACTTTTTACCTATAGAAATAAGATAATTCCAAATAACCTATAGATTGATAACCAGCTAGTGCTATGTAACATGGGTAGCATTTACATCACAGTGCTAAAAATGTATAGTTTTACAATGATTAAAAAATTAAATAACAGTAATTATTCTTGAACAAGAAAAAAAACATATGTGAATAAACCACTACTAACACGACTGTAATCTAGCAAATAAAAAAAATACAATTTGATTCAACCAGAAATGTTTTCAAGGTTAATATATTTCATATTATAGTATTTCCATAACTGAATAAAACTGTTTAAAAATAAAGTTATTTTTCATGGCACTTACAATAATACTAAAAACGTAAAAGAAAAACACAGCTGCACATATATTGGGTGTTACAACCTGGCTAGACTGATGAGTTCTGGTACTAAGCAAAAAGCTTTACTGTCAGTTTTATATAAAAAAAAACAACAACTGAGGTTGGTATTTTATTGTAAGAATATCCTAATAAAAACCCATATGTATTATGCTAGCTAACACTATTGTTTAGACATTATCATTTTTATTATGGAAGTTTATTTCAACAGCATTTTCTTTTCTTTTTTTTTGCTTGCTTTTCACCATAAACGTTTGGATGAATTATTTTTGTACATTAAACTCAATAAAAACCTTTACAGCTACAGGTACACAGAAGTCTATATTTGAAGTTGCATGGAATTTACAAAATTCTTTAACATAGACAGTAATATTTGTATGTAAAATGTTTTGTTATTAATTAACTGATGTGATTAATCACACAAAGAATTTTCCTCCAAATATTCAAATAAAAAACACTTAATTCTCTTACAAATCCTTCAAATTCTACTTTATTTTCATTATATGTCTGAGTTTTAGTTACTTGGTCTCATGTTTATAAAGAATTAGTTTATATTTTAATCTAAAAAAATGACTTGTAACTGACATAAAAGATAAATACATATGCAGGTGTAATCAAAGCATTTTTATTTACCTGGAGTCAGAATTGTAACATAAGAAAAATTAGTTGACTTTTTTTTTGAGGAGTTAATAAAATCTCTATATGTTCTGAAAAATACAACAAAAAAAACAAAACAAATTCATTTGTAATGGTTAAATAGCCTACATGATCACCTAAGTCTGATTATTAATTAACATAAAGTTAGAAAAGTATTCAAAAGCCACAACATAATAAGACTGCAGTTAGTACATACTAAACTAAACATAGATGCAAAAGAGATCAGAAACACCATTTATAACATCTCTTGTAAATATGGAGTCCAACACACTGGAGAAACAAAAATTCCAACACAGTTAAACTTCAGGAGCACTGAAGACATAGAAGACTCTGTAATACCAATCTAGCTACTGCAATAGCCATCAGACAAGAGATGAAGACCATACAATAAAATGAAATAATAAAAATGATATATGAACACACAAGGAAAAGAAAGATAAAAAAAAAGAAGCTTTCTACACCCACCTAACTGATAACACATTCAGTCAGCCTAGAACAGATGTTAGCAAAACCTGGCTATCTCTCTTAAAAGTGAGTTGATTTAAACACTAATAGGGTGATCACACCAGCCTTTCTATCAAGAAGACCCAGGATTGAATCCTGGCTATTACCATAAAACACAGTCAATTTCAGAATGTCACTGAAAATGACAGATCAACAGCTGAAATGTAGGATATAAAGTAGTTAGTAATTATCATATATTAATAATATTTAATAATTAATAATTAAGTGTAGGTGATCATAAAGGCTACTAACCATGAAAATAAGTGATACTCAATCTGCCACAATCTTATCCTTACTACTTAAAACTTCAGCTGATTTGTATTAATACATAATAAAAATAAAACAAAATAAGCTACATAATTAAGATTTTCTTCTTTAACTTAATTTAAAACTAACTTCCATACCATCAATATTGTAAAAAATATTTAGTCTAAGCTATTCCAAGCATTTCAAATATTCAATTACTTCATATATAAAACTTCTACAAATCTTATATCTTATGAGATGTAAATTGAAGTTTTCAGTAGCAAATTCAATACATAAATGGAATAAATATTTATTTTTAATTAAATACATCCGTCTCATCAGATCATATCTTTACATACAACATTTAGCCCTTTTTTGACATGTTATTTGTCCACCTTTTCATAGAATCTCTGTGTCTATCAGCTATGCCTCCTTGCAATAAAGTAGATAGCCAGAATGATGACCAAAATAATCACAGCTGCCACTACATATAGGATCAGTTTGTTCTGCACTATCCTGGAATGTAAACCAATCATTTCTTTCTTAAAATACATGACTTTTACTCCTGTCAACTTAAGTTCTATGTTGAAATATATTCAGATATGTTCACGGATAACATCTGACAGTCAAGTAGTAGTTGAAGAATGATAAGAAGAACTGTGTGGTTTGTATAGGTTGATATTATTTAGTGCAACAACGCAACAATGGCTATTAAAACAATGCAGATGTCACTTGTTTATTTTGAAACCTAATAATAAACATGATTGATTTATAACAATATCTAAGCCAATCTTTTCTTTTGAGATTTATGAGAGAATCATGAAAAAGTTGAAATGACATTAGCAATGTAGTGGTGGCCTACATAAATAGAGACAAAAGGACACACCCATGAAGACTACACCACGTATATTTTTTTCAAGTTATTCTTTTCCAGCTTTTGTGCACCAAATATTTAACAAGGTGTTTCTGTTTAACAAGTTTTGATTAAAATTGAATATATCCAATAAAATCTCGTCCTCCACTAACACTGTGTAATGTATCACCAACAGGTCTGTTTACTTCATTTTGTGATTAAATATCAGTGTTAAGTTGTTTACTTAAGTAAATATAGTATATAAATGTTTAGAGACAGTAGTCACTTTTATGAGAAATATTATCATTATCAGCCTCTAATATTTAATAAAGATATAACTATCATCTTTCACAAAATTTATGAACAAACACATTCAAGTATGTATGTGTATCTATATATATATATATATCACATATAAAGATTAATGATATAAAAGAACTTGAGAATTTCAATAAATTAATCAAAACATGCAATAACATTAAATATTCTTTATTTCCACTTTCAAGTACTATGACATACATTTGCTATGGTGCTTTGAAATGATAATAGCCAAATACAATGGTCCATTAATGTATTCTGTTTCTGGTAGTTTCTGAAAGTATCTTAATCTTTTTATACTTTCAGACATTGTGAAACATGTTGGTTGCCTACCTTATATTAATATGTATATAATTTTTAAAGAAAAAATGGCAATAAGCATACAATTTTATAATATATTATTTATCAGAATAAAATTCTATTAGAAAGCATTAGCTAATCTAGTCAAAACGTGTTAACAAATTTTATTACTTTAGGCAACAGTAAGGATCTACTATTACACAGATCAGTGGACATTTTGCCCTTTTCCAATTATTGGACATAGGATGTGCTTATAGCTTGGTTGAGATATGTGATGCACCAAGGACATAATGTAAAACATGCTTCGCTAGTCACTTCTAATCACTTCATTTCAGACTAAACAGATAAAAATATGCCTACAGTTTGTTATAGGAGAAAGCATTTAACTTGTTTCTCTGATATATGTTAACAAAAGCTTAAGGGTTCTAGACTAGAAGCAATTTAACACAAGTGTTTCCTTCTTAATGTAATGTCTTATCATGTTTCAAATATTAATTTGAAATTACAAAGTGTGATTTAATTATTTAAATAGTAAACAGACCTCTTATTTCAAATGTTCTTGTTTCTAAACTAATTGTGATTTACTCTAATTTCATACAGAAATAATATTAACACTAAGTTTTATTCAACTGGTGTATCTTTTTGAACTATGAAAAAAAACTACTACTGAAAGTGATGTAAAGTTCACTGGTTCAAATACTTCTTTGTTCTTAAGCACTTTCCATTACATCAAGGAACTTCCATGTATTTGTAATGTTATCTTTTATGACAGAAGTCTATGAAAAATGGTTAAAATGATCTTTATGGAAATTAAGTTTTACACTATTCACTAAATTTTCAAATTTTCAATAAATCAACAGAGTTACGAAAAGCATCATTTATGGTTTGTTTGATTAGAGTATTTGTACAAAGCTACACAAGGGTTATCTGTGCAAGCAATCCCTAATTTTGAACTCATAAACTAGATGGAAGACAGCTAGTCAGAATTATCCACCTAAAACTCAAGCTCTTGTAATCAAAAAGTGGGATTTGACTGTCACTCTCATAACACACACATGGCTCCAAAGTACTGAGTGAAATTTTGTGGCAATGAGATTCAAACTATACACAGGGCTTCTCCTTCAAGGTAGATGTATTGTCCTTATTGGTAATGAATGTCATAACTTCTGCTTTCTATTTGGCTTATAAACTGTCCAATGCAGTTGGAATTATCTGAAAGCTTGTCTATTTGCCTTTATGTTTGGTGATCATGTTGTTGAGAAGGTATATATATCACCAGCAAACTTTAGGTCACTCAGGCCTTTACTATTCTACCATACTACTCCTGTTATAATGCTGTTGATTTGTTGCATAATAAAATCTACTGTAATTCCAAAGAAGACCAAAGATACGTTACAATACTGTCTTACACCTGTTTTGACTTCAAAGTTCTCACTTTGTTTATTGTTAACACCAACTGAATGCCTTGATCCACATTAAACAAGTCTGTTTTGATCTTGCCTGGGACACCATATACTTTTAGAACTTTCCATAATGACTCCCTATCCACACTGTCAAATGCATCCTGCAAATTGACAAAGTTCATAACTAACAGTAATCGCCACTCAATGCACTGTTTTTTACTGATGTTACACAAAGCAAATATTTGGCTAACACAGGACTGCCCTGGTCTAAAAACCACCCGATTTTCTTATGGTCTTTCACCAATGACATCTTTGATCTATCTAAGATCATTGAACAGGCTTTCCCTGGGGAGTGATAATAAGGTAAATCCATCCCAATTGTTGCAGTAACCTTTCTTTGAGTTATATATTCCATTCTTCCAGGTTGTAGGATTTGTTTCTTGATTTCATACAAGACTGATTAGTTTTAAAAACTGAGGTTGTTTCACTACTTGTTTTGATTAATTCACTATTTATTTTCTCATCTCCAGCTTAGATATAGCTTTCTTAAGTTCTTCTAGCATTATATATAATCTAGGTTAATATCCATCTCAGGCAGACATTTGATGGTATTACAGTCAAACAGCTGGGTGGGTAGTAAACAATTTAGGTGTACTTTGAAAGTGTTCAGCCCACAGCTTCTTTTCTTTTTCACAGTATGGTGATTACTTCATCATTTTGTTTTTCATAGGGTATCCTTTCTGCTTGAAGTCTCTGGAAAAAATTCTTGTTTTTTTGTACTGTTTTCATGTTCCCTTTATGTGCTGCTATTTTTACTTCCACTGCTTGCCTTTCTAAGAGGCCTCTTTTGTCCTTTCTAGCTTTAGATTTCACAGCTCTATTTTATCTTTGTATGTGTCAGCTCTATCTATTTTTTTTCCTGTCATTCATTTGTTGTTGAAGAAATTTAGCTTTGCTTCTTTTCTTTCCTCAACATCTTCCCATGTAGACTTGCTGTTTCATTCTTCCTGTCTATATTTGCTTTAGTACTGATTGTGCTGTTTTGGTCTAAACATCCCTGTGTTTTTCACACTTCTTTGAAAACTTCATAGTTTTTGGACCACACAGAAAACTTGTCTGATAAATGCAAATAGAATTCAGCTTCTTTTGTTGGTTCCTTTAAACTTGCATTTTGTTAATATTTTTTGGTTGATATTTCTTTAGTTATATTTTAGCTATGAATAAATGATGGTCATTGCCTAAATTTGCTCTACTATATGCCTTAGTATATTGCAGCTAAAGGTTTTTCACAAACAAAACTGATCTATTTGGCTCTAGGTAATGCCAGTGAGGAAAGCCATACTGCCTTGTGTATTTCTTTATCAAAGAGAGTACCACTGGTAACCAGTTGTTAAATTGACAAATTTCTGCAAGCTGATGTCATTGTTTAATGTTTCACTTCCATATTTTCACTTAACATCTTCAACTCTCTTGTTGTTGTTTCCCACCTTCGGCATTCATATCACCAATTACTATAAGCAAGTCATAATTTGGCACCTTGTTGACAACATCTCGTAAACTGTTATAAAATTAACCTTTCATATTCATTAGTTGGTGAATAACAACACATAACTGTCATTTTGACAAACAGTTTGAAGTCTTACTCTCAGAAGCTAGCTCTTGATTGGTTCCTAATCTAATAACAGACCTTCTGGTCATGTTTTCAACAATCAAGGCAATTCCTTCCTTCTATTCTACATCTAGTGTTCCTGACTAAAACATGAATTTTCATTCATTTGTAATCTAATCAAATCTGCATGTTTCTGGCCATTGACATTCATTGATTCCATGATGCTTATTTTGTTTGATGTTAAGCACAAAGCTACAGGATGGACTACCTATGCTGTGTTCACCATGGGTATCAAAACACAGTTTTTAGCATTATAAGCCTTCAGACATACCGCTGTGGGGACCATATGTTTATCCTATAGTTACTTCTTTTTCTATTTGGCTAGGTTTTCCAGTTTGAAATGTTGATTTGACATTCCATAATCCAACTTTCAGTGATGATTGTGCTTCTAATTGGGGGCTTTTCAGGATTGATTTCCTGTTGATTTGTTCTCTATACCAAAGCTGTTGCTTGTTAATACTAATTCTTATATAAAATTTTAAAACAATTTAGAAAAATGCTTGCCAAGTATTATTCATACATTCATTAAGATCAAAAAAGGAAAGCTTCACCATAAAATGAAACAATTTCAATCATAAAAATCATGTTCTTTTATATCTGTACATTTATTAATTTGAAAATGAGCAAACCCTACCTTCTAATCATTCCACTTAGAATTCTGGAACTCTTACCCAGATCATCATCTGTTTCTCGAAGCTGTAATTTTATATGAAAAACATTAAGTTCACGTTACTTTAATGCATTTGACAAACAACAGCATAAACTATAAAACTGTAGATTTCAAGAGAGACAGCAATATGAACTGACCTTCTACAGACATAATGTTTTCCTATAAACACTAATACTATGAACAACCAATGCAGATAAAAGAAAAGTATATGGTATTTTCAGGTAAAACAGATTTTCTAACAAATACCAGACAGACAGACCCACAAATAAGAGCAGATTTGATCAAGAAATAATGGGAGTATTCTGTAGTTGATAACTTGACTGCATTTTAAATTGTGTGAGATATAAATATATTGGACATATTTAAAAGACAGTGAAAATCTTTATTTACATACAACATAAAAAACAGTGGGTGTACCTGCACAGACAAGTGAATGACCACCTGCACTGAATCAGTGAATAGCTAATCACGATGACAGCCAAGTAGAACTGAACAAAGAAAGCAAGCCTGGATTTCAATTTTAATTTTAATTAAATAATGCACCAAAGAAAACAGTAAAATAACATGAAAAAAGCAAACAATGTCCCAGAACTATCACAATTTTTTTGGCTTTCTAACAATGCAACAAGTACCATTACAAACTCATCTAAGCTAGTCAATGTGTTTCCTGTTGGAATAAAGTTTGTACTGAAAGTGAAATTGATGATTCTCTGTACAGAAAAACAACATAATATAATAGGTCATTTGATAGATGAAAATCTTGGCTTTCTATTAGTTATAAATAATTTAGTATTGTATATCATAGAGAACTAATTGCAATTTATGAAAGAGAGGACGTGATAGGTGGGTGTGGCAAGAGGGGTCTGATTTTCTATTTGATGGCTCTTTAACCAAATTAGATTGAAGGCTATGAAATTTCTGCTTTGCTTTAACAATGATGACATTATAATAAGTAATTTACATTAAATTTCATAGTTCTTGGAAGAGTGATAAATAAATTACGTATGCCTAGAGGGTAAATGTCACAATTCTCACACTAGGGGAAATGCAGGATTTTGTTGCAATATTGCTTTATAACATTAAGAACTTAAAATTTATATACTATTAAAATATGGATTATTAGCTACATTTTATTGATATACTTATTGGTATACCATGAAAATCAAGCAGTTTAATTAAATTTTGAATATAACACTAAAAAAACCTTGTGACATGCACAGAAAAAGATGCCTGTGGAGAGAGGGCTAGAGCCCCTGATAAAATAGTGCATTTTTTCTTTTTCTTAAAGACCACTAAACAAGGAAAAATTTTGGGAAAGTATGCTGATTTATATCTTGTTAATATTATATACTGTAGTAGAGATTAAAGATTAATACTAATTTTCATGTTTTTTTGTACATAAAATTAATTTATGTGCAAATAGCTACACGTGATTTTAAAAACAGGCTATTTTAAACATTTTAATAGCTAAATAAAACTTCTCTTGGTGTTCTGCTTTTTAAAACTTAATTTACATTCTCTTTTTTACTGTTTCAATTTCTCATTATATGCACTTTTGATTTCTTTTTGTTATTCATATTCAGTTGTTCATTTTGTACAGAAAAAGGCTTGAGAAAACACAGGTTTCCCTTTAGAATTTTTCTGTGAGGGGTGGGGGAGGATTCTTTTTATAAGTTTATCTAAAATGGTACCCAGCCTTTTCAACACCAAATGTTATCCAGAAATAAAACCTACAAATTTACAACAAAGCTAGGAGGACAGAGAAGGATTGAGTTTAGAGGATTAACTTCCCCCTGCCTTCTGGAGAGAAAACCCCTGAGAAAAGTTGGCTATATTAAGCCATGGTAACTCTACTACCCACCAGTAATTTAACCCCTCTACTTCAGGTGGGTGGATTCCACCCAGCCTATATTCCCCAAGGTAACCATAAACACTTATACTGTAATTTTTTAAATGTACTTGTATCTTCAATAAATTTTGTAATTATCAATAAACATTACAAGGCATTCGTATACAAAGTATTAGATTTTGTAATTAAGTTTTAACGTTTTTTCAATTAATTATTTGCTCATGCATTTTTTACTTTTGAATGTTGACTATCCACCATACAAAGTAATTTTGAGTTTAAGATTAAAAATACTTTTATGCATCAGAATATTGTCAAGTTTTACATGTAAAATATCTAAAACCTTCTAATAACCTCCAGATAATTATCAAACGAAGTTAAAAGATTTGGCACATGTGCACTCATGTTACCGTAACCAGAGTATAGAACTGGCCTTTACAAAGAATATTATCAAACGAAGTTAAAAGATGTGGCACATGTGCACTCATGTTACCGTAACCAAAGTATAGAACTGGCCTTTACAAAGTGATCTCTCTTGGCTGTGTTCTAGTGGACAAGTATTTTGTAAAATACAGTAACATTTCAGTTATAATACATTATATATGTATATACATTATTACAATTTACAAATAAGTTAATAAATTTCAGTTATTTTTCTTAAAACATAGAACAATAAATAAAGTATTACAGAAAACAATTATCTCTTCTAGTTATGAACTTTGTGATCGCTTCCTACTTGCTGTAATTTGCTAAGCCTTATAAAAATTCACACGTGGAGGATGTAAAACAAAATAATATTTTTCAGGTTTTATATATACATTTGAAATAACACAAATTACTATATCAATACTACAGAATTCCACTACAATTTATCAAGCTTAGTAACGAAACTGTATTTGGGTCTAAAAAATTATTTTTCGAGTTCACTAATATCTTACCTTACTGCTTGGAATCTACCATGAAAAGAATGAGTTTCCCACATAAATACTTTGCAGAGGCTAAGAAAACCACTAAGGGACATTCTGAGATTTTGATTGGTTATACACACATCATTGGGCAATATAGGTGTATGCAAGAAAGTATTTTCAAAAATGAAAGAGGTGGGCAGGGCCACCTTAGTTGATTCACTAAATATATTAATATCTCAGAAAATAGAAAACGAGGTTCTTATCTTATATTCTAGATTGTCAATGTTGGTAATTTGAGTTTCTAATTCATAAGAAACTATAGACTTTGTTTTTGGACATCACAAATATCTAATTTGAACCAATACTGCATCCAACATACCATGTGACACACAAAAATCGATATTTAGGATTTTTTTAAATATTTACTTTTAACTTAAGAAATTAACAAATGTATAATACTAAAAGTTGAATTATAATCTACAATTTGATAGCAAACATATTGACATACATTCCTAAATAGTAGCTCAGTAAAATTTTGAATGACAGTCTAAAAACACGATGACATGGCTTTTGACCCGTGATCATAGGAAGACCTGTAGAGATAGGGTTCACTCCTAAAGTTTGCATTATTCTAATAATGGCTGTAAATAAACTAATATCACAGAATTACAAATGTCACTTTCATGCATGATTTAGTTAAGAATAAGATACATGAAGTAGGATTAAAATCTTGAAGTTTGCTTTTTTTGAACATTGCAAAATTTATACACAAAAATACATAATATGCATGTGGCCCTTACCCTGTCTCTAGATTTCTTTATCGTTTCCCGCTGAGTATACAAGCTATTGAGAACATCAGCACCAATTTGTTCTGAAAAGTTAAGTTTAAAATAAAATAAACTGCTGTTGCTTTTTTGACACTTTAAAAACATGTAGAAAAAATAAAAATATAAAATATAATTAGAAAATTAAATTAATGTAATTGAAATCTTAAATGTGCATCTATACTTAAATAAACAAAATCTGAAATAATAAATTAGTCTCTAGAACAAAGACAGTCACATATATATCATTTGTAAGAGAATTTATACTGTACAAAATTTAGTTTATTTCATACAAACAAATTAATAAATGTAAATATTTGGCTGACCTGTTTCTAAAGCAAGTCCGTACCCTGCTTGTAATTTTCGAGATGATCTCTCCAATCTCTCTGTGTTGTCTAATAATCGTTGCTTTTGTGAAAGATAAAGTTTTATTTACTGAAATCCACTTTCTTGTATGTAGTATTTAATTATAAGTAATTTCATTTATTTTCTTTTTAACACAAAATGAAAGGTTGTAATCTGTTTATATTCCAATTCTTCTTAAACAATTATCACTCACACTAACAATCTTTGATATAAGCCAACAACAATCATCCTTCATAAACCAATAGTTATGTGACAAATTAACAATAAT